GGTAGTGGCTGCCACATTCTATCCTCTGAATGGTGCTCTGGGGGCAACCCCACAGGGCTGCCCAGGGCTGCTCCCTCCCTGCCTGGGGGAATACAGCCCCTCTCTGCTCCCTCTGCCCTCGGCAGGGGATGCTGGTGCTGCCAACATGGCCAGGTGGACACCCAGACACCTGGGAAAAGATAGTGGGGTTGGGACAAGTGAAGACACATCTGAGCAGCCCCTTGTGTCAAATGGCAGCACCACATTCCCCAGTGCCATTCCATGCACTGCCCCTGCCCTGTAACCCCCTGCCCAGGCTGGCCCATGCAGCATCCTCCCAGCATCCCCCTGAAGGCACTTGGCCCTGGGACCCCACAGCTTCTGGCTGCTGCAGGCTCCAGATCCCCACAGGTGCCCACTCAGTGCCAGCCCCAGATGGGGGAGCCCCTGCAGCCCCAACCTCCATGGGCAGGGCTCCAGGTGGCCCTGCCTGCACTGGGGACGGGGAACCCTCAGGAGCCAGTGATGCTCAGGCTGGAAGGGACCTTAAAGTTCATCTCATTCCAAACCTCTGCCATCAGCAGGGCCACCTCTCACTATACCAGGTTGCTCCAAGCCCCACCCAACCTGGCCTTGAACAGGGATGGGGCAAAATCATACTCTCTGGCTGAGGGGAAATTGTTTTCTTCCTCCCAGGGAAGAGCGAGGTGGGATGGGTCTGCATAGGGCTGGAGGGCACTCGTGGGTGGGCTGGACTGGCAGGGTGGGTTCCCTGAGGGGCAGAGGGGTCCCATCCTGCACTACGGGCAGAAAGGGCAAGAGAATATGTGGGGCGGCCATTGGGTGCCCATCCGAGCTCACGGTTCCTCCGAGGGCTCCGTGTCTCTGTAACCCAACTCCTCGCAGCCGCCTCCCTCCCACCTTACCCCACTCCTGCAAAAGCGCTGCTGGCGCTCGGACCCGAACCGAGGTTGCTGCAGCCCCAGAGCACGGACCCCAAACCCCTGTGCGATCCCAGCCCCAGAGCACGGACCCCAAACCCCTGTGCGATCCCAGCCCC